TTAATATGCATCTGTTCATTTTATTTTGTCACTAAAACCACAATTTTAGTATTGGAAAAGATCTTAAAGATAATTTATTTTTTTTTCAAGTGGGAAACAGATTAGAGGATGATAAGAAAAGAAAGCATGAAGTTATCTTTTTAGCCTTACTTGCATGGGGGTTTTATGTAGAAAGTCTAAGTTCTCTCCTCTGTCCACTATCAGTTACTATTTATTGAGTTACTAATGTGTCAGACACTAAAAACCATCATTATTCATTCTACATTAACTCTGCCAGGTGATATTTTTAATCCCCATTTGATAGAAGAAAACATTGAGACCTAGCTAAAAGTCAAAGTTACCCTTTTTTTTTGTTTGTTTTTGTAGTACTAGGGATTGAATCCAGGGTGCTCTACCGCTGAGCTATACACCCCAGCCCTTTTTATATTTTACCTTGAAACAGTGTTGCAAAATTGCTCAGGCTGGCCTCATACTTTGTGATCCTCCTGCCTCACTCTCCAAAATTGCTGGGATTATGGTGTGTGCCACCAGGTCAGGCTTAAAGTTACACCTTTTCATCCAAAGCCTGTGCTGTTTCCACTATGACACATGGCCTCCATCAGGTCTGGGAAGGAGGGATGAAGGATAAGATAAAAAGCAAGGGACAGAAGGTAGAAGTGTGGTATAAGAAGGGAAAGCCAGTTGGATGTCCTACATTGAAGTTAGTGGGGTAGTTTTCTCCAGCCTCCCTAGAGCAGTGGCCCTTGCTTGACAGTTAGCCAGCATGGGCTTTGAAGAGGTGGGGGAAGAAGACACTGGTGAGCTGATTGACTCCCTTAGGGAGGGGCCTGGCCTCCTGGCTGGTTCCACATTGTTATCCATTGACAGAAGGGCCTTTTCCTGTTTGGGATCCTGAGGATGGCAAGAACAAAGTGAGGGCTTAAAGCCTGTGCACATACTGCTCAGCAGCCTGTGCTTCTTGGGGGTTGTAGTGTGCATTCAGTCAGACCTGAGAAATATCTGCAGTCTTCTCCTTGCATATGTCTCAGGATGATATTTAGTTTCACACATTTACCTTTTGCTTGTTTCTTGGTGCCAGAATTTCCAAACGTGAAAAAAAATTTCTTACATGATTAAATATGTGAATAAAGCAAAACCATAATTTTCAGGGAAGATAAACACAACACTCAATCTCTGAGACAGTGACAAAGGGCATGTGAATATAAATTTGAGTGATTGTCCTTAAGGCATGGTATTTGCATCTAGCCTGCTGGTGGGGTGGCAGCCAGGCTATGTGATGGGCGCTTGGCTCTGTGGCTAAGGCAAGGGAAATGCAACATGGGTCTGGAACACTTGCTCTGCCAGAAAGTAAGAGCTAAAGCAAGCATGGGGACAAAAGGACACAGGAAGGGATGTGTAGAAGGAAAAAGATTTAGAAAATCACCAATTATACAATTACCATAATAATAATTTATTCAAGCTAGAATCATCAGTGTGTGCTAAAATTTTGTTGTAGAAAATTCATTGTCTCGAGGCTGGGGTTGTAGCTCAGAGGTTGAGCACTTGTTTCGCATGTGTAAGGCACTGAGTTCAATCCTTAGCAGCATATAAAAATAAATAAATATTAAGATATTGTCAATCTACAACTAATATATATATATATATATATATATATATATATATAAAAAGGAAATTCATTGTCTCAAAAATTATCAGCTAAATATAAAGAGAAAAGGAAGAACAAATCTTGAGGAAATCACTTCAAGCAAGTCATCAAGGTCAATAGCATCATCTCAAATGATACAAAATGACCTTAAATATGTCCTGATGTAATGGATATAATATTGCTTATGTAATGTTTCTGCCCAAAATACATAATCTTGATTGACTCATGAAGAGACAATGGGAACAAAACAATGAGCCTGTATTCTTAAAAAATGTCACTGTCACAGTCAGGTTCAGTGAGGCATGTCTGTAATCCTAGCTACTAGGGAGGCTGAGGTAGGAGGACTGCAAGTTTGAAGCTAACCTCAGCAACTTAGAAAGACCCTTAGAGACACCCTGTCTCAAAATAATAGATAAAAAGGATTGGGATGTAGCTCAGCGGTAAAGCACCCTTGGGTTCAATCTCCAGTATAAATAGATAAATAAATATTAGGATTTTCTAAATGTTTCCTAATTTTGTGGTTAGTTAAGAGAATGCTCTTGTTCCTAGGATATACATGCTAAGGTGATATGTCAGTTAGTTTGATGCTCAGCACCACGTATAAATAAGTAAATAAATGTCCATCATTAAAAAATAATTAAAAAATAAAATGGAAATATAAGGCAAATATTATGCTTTTAAGGCTAAAAGTAACAAGTCCCATATCTTTTTACAGAAAATGGGATATATGAGTCCAAATTGCTCTAGTTGGACTCGTTTATTTATATAAAAAATAGATTCATTCTAGCTACTTCAAACTAAAGATGATGATAATAACAAGAGTGTTATGATTTGGATCTGAAATGTCTCCCAATGGCCATGTGCTAAAAAGCTTGAGTGCCAGAATGTGGCAATATTACGAGGTAGTAAAAACCATGAGGTAGGGTCTTGTTGGAAGTAGGTCATGGGAGTGGGATTTGAAGAGCATATTTTGTTCCTGATCTGTTCCTCTATCACACCTCAGGTCCAGAAACAATGCAGCCCAGTAGTCATAAACTGAAATCTCTGAAATTAGGAGCCAAAGTAAATATTTACTTCCCTTAAGCTGTTTGTGTCAGGTATTTTGTCACAGGGATGGAAAACTGACTAACACAGAAACTCGGTATTGACAAGTGGGGTCATTACTGTAACTACATCTAACAATATGGTTCAGAAGCCTTTGGAGTTGGTGTTTGAAAATGTTGGAGAAGAAAGCTAGAGAAAGCTTAGAATGATGTTAGAGGAATTTATTAGGTAATCTGGTGGGAACTAAGAAGACCAGAATGCTGATACAAATGTGAGAATAAAGGTCAGTCTTGTAAGGTTTCAGACAGAAATGAGGACTCTATTAGAAATTGGACTACAGCCCATTTATATTACATTCATGCAAAGAACTTGTTTCAAAATTATTCATGCCCTGGGACTTTGTGGGAGGTTGAATTTAAAAGTGATGGGCTAGTTTATCTGTCAGGGGAACTTTCAAGACAGTACAGTGGCCAGGCTGTGGCATGATTTATTATTGGCTGTTTTTAGCTAGACTTACAGTGAAAACTGGGAGTAAGAGGCAGGGCAGAAAAATCTGAAAATCTTGTAGCTAGGCCAGAAAAGAAGTTGTGGCTAAGGAAGGCATGGTTGTTAAAGAGATTAGTACCATCAAAAAGAAGCCAAGTATTTTTCACTGGGACAATAGGAAAGAAATCTTGAAGGTATTTTAGGTATCAGCAAGACCCCATCCCTCCCAGGCTCAAAGATGCAAAAATAGAAAGATTTCATTTTAGAAGAGAGCTTCTGGATGACCTGCTTCCACAGGGCCACTTTGGAAGTTGTTTCCCCAAGATTTGTTTCACATGTTCAACCATTTGGGCAGTCAGAGGCTGCTGCAGCAGTGGTCCAAGTGGCCCTCACTACTGCTTAAACTGAAGGCAGACTCTAGTATTGTTCCTGAGGTGCTGGTTTTCCAGGTACACAGAATGAAAGATTTGTGGGGTCATAGAGGCTTTCACCAAGATTTCAAAGGAAGGCCTACAAGGCCAAGCAGTATGTGGCTGGGTTAAAGTCCCTGCCAGCAGTCTCTGAGGGGTGGGGCAAAGTTCCAGGCAGCAAGGCCATGGAGTGGGGCTGCCCAGGCCCTTTGAAGCTGACGTTCTACCATTACCATTATATGACCCAGATGCTGAATATGGAGCTATAGGACTTTTTGTTTTTCTTTCTTTCTTTTGTGGTACTGAGAATTGAAACCTCTTACCACTGAGCTATATCCTCAGCCTTTTGTAATTTTGAGACAGGGTCTTGCTAAATTGCAGAGGCTAGCTTCAACTTGCTATCCTCCTGCCTCTGCCTTCCGAGTGGCTGGGATGACAAGTATGCATCACTGTACCTGGCCAGAGCTACGAGATTTAATATTTTCCCTCCTGGGTTTTGGTTTTGCATTAGTCCAATACTTCCTTGTTATTCTACTTTTCCTTACTTTTGGAATGGAAATGTTTATCAAGTGCTATTGTATGTTGGAAGTATATAACTTTTGTTTTACTTTTTATTGTTATAGGGGCTCTTAGCTAAGAATCATATTGAGTCTCAGAGGAAACTGGATTTGAATTTTTGATCAATGCCAGCACTGCTAACTTTGGGGACTCCTGGAGATGGACTGATTTTGCATTATGATATGGAAATGTACCTTTGGGGATCTGTGGCATAATGTTGTGGTTTGGACCTGAAATGTTCTCAAAAGACCATGTTCTAAAGGCTTGGTCACCAACTCATGGTGCTATTAGGAGGTGATGAAACCTTTGGGAGGTGGGGCCTAGTTGGATGAAGTCAGTCAGTCCCTGGGGATGGTCTTTGAAGGGTACATTTTTTTCCCCCTGGCTACTTTCCCTTGCTATGTCTCTCTTTCTGCTTCCTGGCTGCCATTAAGTGAGCAGATTGCTCTACCATACCCTCCCCACAGGCCCAGAAACAATAGAGCCCAGTGACCATGAACTGAAACCTCTGAAACAATAAGCCCCAAATACATTTTTCCTTCTCTTGTTTATGCAGATATTTTGTCAGAGTAATAGAAAGCTGACCACAAAGTGGGACAAATAGACAACATACTGGGATTATACCTCAGAGAGTCTCTAGCTGGAGAATGGTTCTGGATTTAAGCAGATATGTGTTGGCCTTGGCTCCATGCTTTGACATTAATGTGATTGGGGGATGCTGTACTTTTCTGAGTCTAACTGTTCAGCTTAGTGATTGGCTGCTCTTGAGTAAGGTATCTGATTATATTGATGTGATGCTCTTGGCTAAAAGAAATAGAAAACCTGATTCAAAGTTGTATAAACATTATCATATATACCATTAATTTGGAGATGGGGCATGTCCTCTTTGACCTCATCAAGGGCTCAGGTTCTTCCCATCGTTCTGTTTGCCATTCTTAGCCTGTTGGCTTTTTCTCTGAAATTGGCTTCTTTGATGATTCCAAATTGGCTGGTACAGCTTCAGAAATCACAGGGGTTGACAATACTGAGAGACAAAGTTAACTATCTTTATCATGTGTTCCTTTTAGAGAGCAAAGGCTTCCAACAGATTTACGCTTGTATCTTATTGGCAGACTGGGCAAGGGAAATGGTACTTATCATGACTGACTTAGACTAATCAAGATTCATCCTTTTGGGCTGAAGACGTTATCAGGCTGGCATAATGCATTTGATTAAAATAACAAGGAAAGTTCCCACTAGAAGAAAGAAGGGAAAGAATACTATTAGATATAGAGCCACACTCCCTGGCTAATCATTGATGGTGATGATAAATGGTGACATGGTCCAATAAATTGCCCTTTAGGGAAAAAATATGTGCACAAAAAGTTCCCTTAGAAGAATATGTGGGTTGCCAGATGTCCATAAAAGAGAATATATGAACAAATTATGGTATACACATATAGGATTCTATGTAAGCAACAAAAAAGGAAAAACAACATAGGACATTTTAAAAAACATTTTAAGTTAAAACAATTAGACACAAAACGGTATATACTGTAAGTATGAGCACATTTACATGAAGTCCAAGAATAGGTAAAACTATCAGAGGGCTGCCTAACCCTTCCATCTTTTTTGCCACATGAAGACACAGTGTTTGTCCTTTCCACCATTTGAGGACATAGCTAACAGGTGCCATTCTTGGAAGTAGTGAACCTCTGATAGGCATTGAATCTGCCAGTGTCTTGTTCTTGGACTTTCCAGTCTCCATAACTCTGATAAATAAACTTTTATTATTTAGAAAGTACCCAGTTAAGTTATATTGTTATAGCAGCATGAATAGACTAAGTCACTATCTATGGGGATGGCAGTGAGAACGTAGTTGATTCTACGGGTGAAGGGGAACTGACTGTAGAGACACATGATAGAACTTTCTATAGATAGACACGATAGAAATATTCTATAACTTATTTTGGGAGGAAACTACATGAGTATACACAATTGTTAAAATTAATCAATCAGTTATAATCTTTGCATTTTAAATTTTCATTATAACTTAATGAAAAAGGTAAATAGAATTTACATATCTCTTGGTGGGTGCATACAACATTGACTTACCTATAAAAGATTGCCAGAAATGTTGAATCTGAATCTGATAAAGTTTCTAGATCTATGCTTCAATTTACAGGAAACAAAGAGAAAAAAAAATTAATGACACCTTGGGGTTGTGATTGGCAAAACTCAGACCGTGGGTAATTTTACTGCAGTACTTTACTGCAGGAAAACAGCCCCTGCTCAGGGCCTCCTCTGGCTGTGCCTCTTCAGATGGGGAGAGATGTCCATGGGACATATCCACTTAGAATTGGTGCCTCTTCTTTCAGACCATGGTCTAGTTACCTAGAACCTGAACTTCCTGGCCTACACACACCCCATGCCTATTTCCAGGACCTGCATGGGCCCATTCCTAAGTTTGTTCTCCCAAAAGTGGACTGTCTACAGAGTCCTCTCTGTTTACAGAGGTTGTTGACTGAGCTTGGACATGTCCTTTTTTAAAAAAAAAAATTTTGTGGTGCGGGGGATGGAACTCATGGCCTTACACATGCTGGGAAAGCCTTTATTGCTGAGCTAAATCCCCAACTTAAAAAAAAAAATTGAGAAACTGGAAATCCATATGTAACAAAATGAAATTAAACCCCTATCTCTCACCATGCACAAAACTTAACTAAAAATGGATCAAGGACCTTGGAATTAGACCAGAGACTCTGCATCTGATAGAAAAAAAGTAGGCCCTAATCTTCATCATGTAGGATTAGGCTCCAACTTCCTTAATAAGACTCCTATAGTTCGAGAATTAAAACCAAGAATCAATAAATGGGATGGACTCAAACTAAAAAGTTTCTTCTCAGCAAAATAAACAATCTGTGAGGTGAACAGAGAGCCTACATCCTTGGAGCAAATTTTTACCCCTCGCATATCAGATAGAGCACTAACTCTAGGATAAAGAACTCAAAAAGCTAAGCACCAAAAAAACCCAATAACCCAATCAACAAATGGGCCAAGGACCTGAACAGACACTTCTCAGAAGAGGATATACAATCAATCAACAAATATATGAAAAAATGCTCAGCATCTCTAACAATTAGAGAAATGCAAACCAAAACTACTCTAAGATATCATCTCACTCCAGTCAGAATGGCAGCTATTATGAAGACAAACAACAATAAATGTTGGTGAGGATGTGGGGGAAAAGGTACATTCATACATTGCTGGTGGGACTGCAAATTGGTGTAGCCAGTATAGAAAGCATTAAGGAAATTCCTTGGAAATCTGGGAATGGAACCACTATTTGACCCAGCTATTTCTCTCCTTGGACTATACCCAAAGGACTTAAAAACAGCATACTACAGGGACACAGCCACATCAATGTTTATAGCAGCACAATTCACAATAGCTAAACTGTGGAGTCAACCTAGATGCCCTTCAGTGGATGAATGGATAAAAAAATGTGGCATATATATACAATGGAATTTTACTCAGCATTAAAAGAGATCAAAATCATGGCATTTGCAGGTAAATGGATGGCCTTCGAGAAGATAATGCTAAGTGAAGTTAGCCAATCCCCTCAAAAAACAAATGTTTTTCTGATATAAGGAGGCTGACTCATAGTGGGGTAGGGAGGGGGAGCATCAGAGGAATAGATGAATTCTAGATAGGGAAGAGGGGTTAGAGGGCAAGGGAGGGGGCAGGGGATTAGCAAGGATGGTGGAATGTGATAGATATCATTATCCAAAGTACATGTATGAAGACCCGAATTGGGTGTCAAAAAATACTTTATATACAAACAGATATATGAAAAATTGTGGTGTATATGTGTAATACGAATCGTAATACATTCCGCTGTCATTTATCTTATTTAAAAAAAAAATCAAAAAAAAATTTGAGGCAGTGTCTTTCTAAGTTGCCAGGGCTGACTTGGAACTTTCCTAACTCTTGCCTCAGCCTCCCCAGTCACTGGAATTACAGGTACATACATCACTGTGCCTGGCTTGGGGTATTCTTGGAATCAGGATGGGGCCAGGGGTGGGAAGAAAATGAGGACATTCTGTGGGCCATGTGCCAGCTCTCTGGGCAACCACAATCTAAAGAGGAACTCCAAAGAGACTAGAATTCTAAATTTAAACCTGGTCTTTCGGGTCATAAAGAATACATTTGTCAAGGTAGAAACGTAGAGCGTATTATAATGTTAGCTTGAATTATAACTTTAATATATTTAGATATGTACTATTTGGGCTTCCTTTGTACTGTTATTATCCTAGGTCAGTCAATGTTAGGGATCAGCCAACTCCTAGAGTTTAGAATATATAGCCTAGTGTAATGAATTTCATGAAAAAAAGGACACATAACCTAGATATTAAAAATATATGAAAAATTTTAATATATGAAACTCAAAACTGTAAAACAATTCAAAAGACAATCAGGAAATTATAAATCCTGATCACAAATAATTGATTTTACTAAGGCATTTTTAAGAATTTTTCTAGGTACCATAATGGTATTAAGATTGTGTTAAAAAGCATCCTTATCTTTTAGAAGGATATATTAAACTTTTTACAGATAAAATGTATTGGATTTGCTTAAAAATTAGGGTAAGGAGGCAGTAGCTGGGAATACAGATGAAATAGGATTGTGTATGAATTGAAACTAACAGAGTACATGGGAGTTTATATATTCCCCCTCCACCTCCCCCCAACACCCACCTGCAGTGATGGGGATTGAACCCAGGGCTTTACATGTAAGAAGAAAGAGAACAGTCAGGAGGGACATATGGGCAAGCTTTCTTCCACTGAGACATATCCACAGCCCTTTAAAATTGTTTTTTAAATTTCAAAACAGGATCTAAGTTGCTGAGGGCCTTGCTAACTTGCTGAGGCTGGCCTCAAATTTGTGATCCTCTGTCTCAGCCTTCCGAGTTGCTGAGATTACATGCATACTCCACTATGCCTGACTTCCATTATTAACATATTGATAAATATTACTTTTGTATATACTTACACATAATTTACATAAATAAGATCACTGTGAAAGTCAATGGATAGATAATTTATAAATAGAAAGGTTTATTTTGGCTCATAATTCTGGGCCAAGATTGAGGGTCTGCATCTGGTGACTGCCTTTGTGCTGTCAGTCTGAAGATGGCATAATGCATCATATGTCCCTCCTGACTGCTCTCTTTCTATTTTACATAACCACTAGTATTCATTCAATCATGGGAGCTTTACCCTGATGATCTTTTCTAATTCTAATCATATCCCTAAAACCTCACCTCTAAACACCACTGTTGGATTGAGTTTCTATTCTCTTAATACCTCACAATGGAGATTTAATTTCAACACAGGAATCCTTGGGGGACATACACATACCATATTCAAACCATAGCAACAAACAGACAAAAACCCGAAAACTCCCCAAACAAACCAAAAATCCCCATGTTTTTTTCACACAAAAGTTCTTATTTATAAGCCTGTTAAGTCATTTCCAATTTTTAACTAATATTGTAATGAACATTTTACATTTTGTGATTCTGCCTTTGGATAAATTCCTAGGTTTATCACTGCTGTTCAAAGGTATGTATATTTAACATTTTGATATATGTTGTTAAATTGTACTTCAGAAAGACTGAATCTATTTTTGTTTTTGAAAGTTAAATCCAGGGACACTCTATTACCAGGCAACACCCCCAGGCTCTCCGTCTTAAAAAAATTTTTTTTTTTGAGAGAGGGTCTAGCTAAGTTGCTGAGGTTGGTCTTGAACTTGTGATCCTCCTTTCTTAGTCTCCTAAATTGCTGGGATTATAGATGTGTGCTACTGTGCCCAGCCAGCTTCATTTATTATTTTTTTTATTATTAAAGCTATTTTAAAAATGTAGTTGTTGCAGGCCTGTAATCTGAAGTCTTGGGAGGCTGAGACAGGAAGATCTCAAGTTTAGTGGCAGCCTCAGCAACTTAGCAAAGCCCTAAGCAATTTAGTGAGACTCTGCCTCAAAATAAAAAAATAAAAATGGCTGGTGATGTGGTTCAGTGGTTAAGTACCCTGGGTTAAATCCCCAGTACCCTCCACTTCAGATGTAAACATTATACACAGAATTGAACATTCTTGTAATTATTATTTTTTTTGAACTGAGGATTGAATCCAGGCTATATCTCCAGCCCATTTTAAAAATTTTATTTTGATACAATCTATCAAATATACGAAAAAATGTTCAATATCACTAGCAATTAGGGAAATGCAAATCAAACTACATTGAGATTCCATCTTACTCCAGTCAGAAGGGCAATTATCAAGAATACAAGCAACAATAAGATTTGGCAAGGATGTGGGGAAAAAAGGTACACTCATACATTGCTGGTGGAACTGCAAATTGATGAAACCACTCTGGAAAGCAGTATGGAGATTCCTCAGAAAACTTGAAATGAACCCACCATTTGACCCAGTTATCCCACTCCTCAGTTTATCCCAAAGAACTTAAAATCAACATACTTTGCTGATAGTCACATCAATGTTTATAGCAGCTCAATTCACAATAGAGAAACTATGGAGCCAACCTAGGTGCCCTTCAACAGATGAATGGATAAAGAAACTGTGGTATATATACAAAATGAAATATTACTCATCCTTAAAAAAGAAATTATGGTATTTGCTGATAATTGGGTGGAACTGGAGAATGTTATGCTAAGTGAAATAAACCAATCCCAAAGAACCAAAGGCTAAATGTTTCCTCTGGTATGCAGATGCTAATTCACAATAAGGGGCAGGTGGGAAATAGAGGTAATTTGAATAGAGGGGAGTGAAGGGAGGATAAGGGGCACGGGTGTGGGTGTGGGGTGTGGAGAAATGATAGTAGAAGGTATTGGACATTATTACCCTATGCACATATATGATTACATGACCTGTGTAACTTTACATCATGTATAACAAAATAAATAAGAAGTTATACTCCATTTATGTATGATGTGTCAAAATGCATTCTACTCTCATGTACAACTAATTAGAACAAATGAAAAATAAAAACAAAATTTTCTTTTTTATTTTGAGACAGGGTCTTGTGAATTGCCTGCTGGCCTTAAACTTGCAATTCTACCTCAGTCTCCTGAGTAGCTGGGATTACAGAAGCACCATTGCACCCAGCCATTGTTTGTAATTTTAACCCCAAAGAAAAATACCATTAATCCTTTTGTTTGTACTAACATATACTATACAAAGGAATCATATTATGCATTTTTTAAACAATTGTTTTCTTAAAACTTAATGCATCTTATGTATTCTCTCTTGTAAATATACAGAATTCTACCACATTTTTTAACAGTTGTTGGTACTGAACTACATGTATCAATTATTCTCAGGCTGTTTTATTATTTTTACCTCCATAAGGATAATTTTTAGATGTTTCTTCCTTAATCACTTCCCTATAAAGTTCAAATACCACATACATACTGTTTATCTGTTTATATACTTTATGAATACTTATGCTTTATAAAAAATAAGTTCTGTTTTTTTGTTTCAAGAATCAATTTTCACCCCTGTATATTATATCTATGATATGTTTCAAACCTTAAGTTTTTCCACATGTACTATGTTTGATATTCTAATGCTATTTTGTTAATACTTTATAAATATTTTGTTTCTGTAGGATAAATTTCTAGGATTGAAAATTGTATTAAAATATATTTAAAAATTTCTTCAATACTGCTAAGGATTCTAATACTATTTTTCAGCATAGCAAAAGTTATCTTGGGGTCATAAAGGTAAAAATAAAATAGGTTATTGAACATGAAAACATATTGAGAGAGATTAAATAAATAACTGGCATTGAACAGCACTGAGAATCAGACTTCAACTTTTTCATTTAAGTAATTGAATTTGCAGTTTATTCTGTAATGATAACTAAAGTGAGGATTTAATTATTTTCTCTCTTAAATCTAGCTAATTGGCCTTAAACACTTAATTTATCGTATATGGTGATCCAGGCATGGTGGCACACATCTGTTATCCTAGTTACTTGGGAGGCTAAGGCAGGACGATTGTAAGATTGAGGCCAGCCATGGATTAATTTAGTGAGAACTGAAGAATATAGAGTACATTACAGAGTAATACATTTAAGACAAGACACAGCAGAAAAAGATATGATTTAATAATGCACAGCTCTGTTTTCAGATGTTTTGAGTAGTAAATGACAAAAAACTATGTAAAATCTAAGTTTAAGTATAAAAGAGAGTTTATTGGCTCATTTAATTGGGAAGTCCAGTGGTAAAGCTAGTTTTTAGGCATGTGTGGATCCTTGGGCTCAGACAATAGGTTATTGAACATGAAAACATATTGAGAGATTAAATAAATATCTGGCATTGAACAGCATTTATGAGATAATGCTGATTCTTGACAAATGACTTCCTTCATTTTTTTGGATTTCATTGATGTTGAATTCTCCAAAATCTTGCTTTATAAATTCATTATGTTTTATACATAATCTCTCTTAGCTTTTCCCCCTAAAAAAAATCAATAAGCCTCTCAGTACTGCTCTTTTCAGCTCCTCTCCTAATATGCATTGAACAACTAAAAATTGTTTAAAGTTATGATTGTCTTAATCACTAAATGCAGTAGCCTTGGATCCTCCTTGATGACTTGTTGTTTCTGTAGTATCAGTGCTGACTGACCTTTCCCTCTTGTCACCTGGATTCTTAGTTGCTGTGAAATTCATTCTTCTGAAGTTTCTCTTTCTGATGACTTCTTCCCTGTTTACTTTGTCCATTCCTCCTTACCTTCTTTATATGGGAGTGATTCTCAAGGTTCTGCCTTCAAACTGTTTCTCTATTCATTCCTCTTCTTGGCAATCTCAAATACTTCTTTTTTTTTTTAATACATGGTAGGGGGATTAAATCCAAGATATCTCTACCACTGAGCCATAACACCAGCCCTTTTTAATATTTTATTTATAGACAGAGTCTCGCTAAGTTACTAAGTGCCTTGCTAAATTGCTGAGGCTGGCCTCAGCCTCCTGAGCTACTGGGATTACAGGCATGCACCACCACGCCCAGCCAGCCCTTTTTATTTTTTGAGACAGAATTTTGCTAAATTACCCATGGTTGGTCTTGAATTCAGAAGCTCCTGCCTAGTCCTCCTGAGAAGCTGGGATTATAGGTGAGTACCACCACACCCAGCATTATAAGCTTCTCTAATTAAATCCTGCATTTCCTATACTACAAAGCACTTTGTCTTGTATTTTCATTTGTTAATTCAACATACATCAAGTACCAGATGCTGGGTAAGTGGTGAAAACATGTGTTTTCTGCTCTTATAGGGTTTTAAATTTCATAAAATAACAAATTCATAATGTGATATATGTCTAATAAAACTTTATTGAAAGTGAGTCTTACATCTTTGAATTTTCTTTCATCTTTTCTTTCCAGACTTCTGTTTTACATTCC